ACTAGTGGACTGCTGGACTAGTATTTGTTCAACTATAGACCTACAATTATCAATCCTCATGACTTCCTCCGAATAAATAGCCTTCACTGTATTGAGGTCTTATGTCATCACTTTGCAATGCTTGCCATCATCCACTTTGCACACTTTATTATGAATCGATCTTAAGAAGAAACTCAATCTGTAGTGACTGCCCCCTCCATTCTGGCTCCGACCTCTCTGTCAGCAGTCTGCCGGCAATGCACAGGGTCATCAGGAAACTATGGATGGACAGACCTACTTTCAGACTGCTGGCAGGGGAGCAGTGTTCATTAAACACCCCCCCTGTGTCGTCAGTCCGCTGGTAAACAATACCAGAGAGGTTGTTCGACGTGGGGACAAGGCTTTCATATTGCCCCCCACTGTCTTGAAGCCCGCTGGTAGTCTCGCTCTGTCTCTCCCTCTAATTACCGCCACTTGCTGAAAACCTTTCATGGGAAATGTGCAGTAGCTGTCAGTATGTTTGTTCTTGTGTGTGTGTGCGTGTGTGCATACATGAGCATGACTACTTTTTTGCCGATAGGCCCACTCCTAAATTTTTTACAAGGAGGCTCAAGCTTGCAAAAATGCACAGCGCCAACTTCAAAGGGGTCAAATGTTCTTGGTCATTTTTCTTCATTTAAATCGGTCTTACTTCCTATAAGTTATGTAACCTCCATTTTTGGGTCTGTGTGATGGAACCCAGGACTCTGGAGGGGAGTGGGGGTATAATGGGAGTTGGCTGAGTTTTGGGGGGGACTTGATGAAGCACAAAGACCAGTGTTCATTGTGACACTTCAAAGCCCCCTCTGTATCACCACCATTTAAGCCCCTGGGAATGACACATTTGTGACAGTGTTACATCACACACCATGCCCTAAAGGCTCCTGCTGCACCGCCATGAATGCCGGCTTATTCATGGTTAATTTTACTATCGCTGTGACAACAGAAGCACACCAGTGATCAACAAGAAGTTTCCACAGCCCTTGCTCTGTAATGGCACGGTGGATGACCTCCCTGTGGCGCCGGGTGTACCTAAGTGAGTGGTCAGTGTCACGGCTTTGCTGTGCACAAAGAGGATGTTCTTTATGGGGCTGCTGTGACGCTACATAGCAGCCTGAGCTTCACGGTGCCTGCAGAGTGCTGGAATGGTGAGAAATGATGTAACTCATAACATACGACATACCAGCTGAAAATGATAAGGACGGTCATCCATCAAGTCTGCACGCCCTAGGAGATCATGCATGTGATGTGATGAAAAGATATGATATCAAACTCAAAGAGCATGGGATGTAAAGAAAGCCCAAAAGAAATCTATTTCATAATGCCTGATTAATTCCCAATTTACCAATATTTATAATCATTAGGCATCACAATTTATACTTACAGGGGAAAATCCTGTCTACAAGCTATTTAACTGAGCTTTCATCATACGAGTTACTGGATTTTTTTTCATGTAGTTATTTTGGATTGGATTGGACTTTATTTAAAATGATGAATGCCTTTGATTCAGTGTGAACATGATTGTTGATATTTTCTAACAGATACTTTCCCAGGTGTATCAATATAACCCTCCTTGAGTATGTTGTGGCAAAATCATGCCTGTTGAGTAAACAAATGGACAAAGGACAATTTGCTCACTCGATACAACTTAATACATTATTTCCTCAGTTTAGTGTCTCTTTTGTAGGCACTGTAATATAAAGGCAGGATATAGGAGGATCAATGGAGTTTATTTGTGTTTTACAAATATAAGGCTCCAAATTGGTCAGTGCTGATCAGAGGCAACTTGTTTAGCTGTGTAACCACAAATCCTCTCATTCAGGTTTACCTTGTGTGACTGAAGGACAGATTAAGAGGCAAGAGAGTAAAGGAAGACAGATATCCTTATTATATTGAAATGCTTGGCTGTGTTTTTTGGCAGCAATTCTACATTTTTCACTGTGCAGTCTCACTCTGGTTAACAGTCGTCCAACATGTTCTCTCACATTACGCCACAAACAATACACTCACTGGTCCCCTATACCCTTCTGATTGAGCAGGTTAAGGATACAGTAGTTGATTGTTGGTGGGGTTGAGTATTAAGTAATAGGACCCTTAAGACTGGATGAATGAGATGAAGCAGCCACCATGAAGTAAGGGTTCAATGGTGTCACTCCTCTAACCTGGATACTTTACCTTAAATACTGTTTAACCATGTCATATGGGATTTAGCTAATTAACAATTTCCAACTTGTAAATATCATTGGCATCAACATCTAAGCCGTAATTACAATTGGGAAAAGGTTTTTGAAAGGCTAAAGGTGTCCACATTTGTGCTAAATAATGCAGTTCCTGGTAAAAGGAAGCTGTAAAATATTTAACAGATATGCTTAGTATTTCTAAACCTTTACACAACCAACTCTGCAATCATATAACTGTCTGGAGTTATCCAATGACGTGAATACCTTTAAACTTATGTTGACTGCAAATGATTCTGGTTTTGCACAAATTACCGGAAGTGATTGACATCAACACATCAACTTTTCAACTTATGTATGTAGGCAACTGAATGTGTAACTGTTCTCTTTATAGTTGTCACTCTCTCACCAGTGTTAGAGCTTGTGAACACACTTAAAAGATTCCTGGTTCTAAGAATGGTCTATCTTTTTGTTTCCTTGATTGCAGCTGAGGTTAGAGGCACCATGCTGCGCCTTCCTGATCTAAATATAAACTAGTGGGAATATATAAACAGAACACAATGATGGGCATCCAACCAACAACAGGGTTAAAGCCTGACCTTTTACCTGGACTCATAGCCTCATAGTTTACAGCGCTTGCCTCGGTTGTTGGTGGAGGAAGGGAGAACTGAGGAAAGAGGAAGTGGTTTAGCACCCTCAGTGGAGACGTGCATGGGAGGTGCACTCTGACACGAGGGAGTCGGTGATTCCTGTGAATAACTTGTCTCATCATTTCTGTCTGTCTGTCTCCACTTTCTTTTTCCCTATCTCCATTATACCTTGTTTCCCTTCTAATCACCATTCTTCCCTTCTTGAAACTCCAGTGACAAATTCATGTTCCTGGTATTTAAAGCTGATAGTACTGATAAATGCAGCTGTGTTTTTACTGTTATTTCATTATGTCTGCCCTGAGTGTTGACCTCTGTGGTTCCCAGTATTTATCATCATATTATTACACATTACAAAAATTCCCTCGCTGGTTCATTTGTGACCATTGCTCACCTTTGAAAACACAACACCAATCTCTGTACCCAAAGGAAATAGTTATTTTAAAGTCACATTTAAAGTTTTGTGTTTAAATCAGTAAGCAATAGTTCCATTTTTTGGTAAATACTCATATACCACCCCTTGCTTCCAGTGTTTATGCTAAGCTAAGCTAATTGCCCACCTGCTCTTGCTTCATATTAAACATACAGACACAAGAGTGTTGTCAATTGTATCATCCAACTCTTGCCCAAAATGGAAAAAGAGAGAATTCCATAAAAGGTGAAACTATTCCTTTAATAAAAACCGATATAGACGTTTGATTGTGTTGTGAAGAATGTCTCCTCTAAAGTATCTGACTTGATTACCAGGGTAAACAACTAAAAAAGTCCTTTCAGCACAGATGGTATCTGAGAATGCCTGTTCATCTGCAGATCTTGTGATTGGGCTTTTTGGCTCAAACTGACCACATATCCAGTCTGCAAAATGAGCAAATTTCCACACCAATTTTCACTTTATTCAGAAAATGTCACAGTGAAATCAGTTAGCAGTCATCCCCTTTATAACCTGCAGCAACATGATCTTTGAGGACAGTGCTCTTATCTGAGAGGGTACTTTGACAGATGTAGTGAAGCTGCTTTAGCCTGGAGCCAAGTCAATAATAACTCATGACTGATGTTTCTTTTTCTGTTACTTGTTCCTGCTTTTTGATTGAGTCTACTCTATCCCACTTTTTTTACCACCCCACCATACACAGTACAGAAGTTGCTGTGTTTGCGCAAGGTCACATTCCTGGCCTCCCCCGTCAGTCTATGCCAGCCTCAACACCTCCCCCCAAAACCCCCCTCCTCTCCCCTCCCATTTGACACACTCTCTCTCCAGCTTCCTGTGTGGAGATGGGTACTGTAACATGTTGTAATTCATTCCATTTATATTTCACACTTTCAACTCAGCTGTGAATACATTTACAGGTGCGATCTGTTTCTCTTGGAAGCAAATGATTCTACTTTCTTATGCCCGATGTCATACGTATATATGGTATATTTTGGAATTTTAAAATGTTTGGAGAAGATAGATATTTTACACATTGTTTTGTTGTTGGTTTCAACTTAGTAGTAAGTAAGTAAGTAAGTTTATTTATATAGCACCTTTCAAGAGCAGATGCCACAAACTGCTTCACAATAAAACACAAAAGTGCATCTCCGTCATGTCACTGATTTACTTGAGTAAAAACTCAAAAACCTCTTTGCACCTTTGTGAGTTTTTCTTTGGGAATCCATATCCCTAGCTATGGTACTTTGTACAGGAAACCACAGCATGAAGGGGAATTTACAACAGGAAGTCAGCTTGCTGAACTCCC